CCCAGATCCATTGACTAATTTAAAAAGAAAAACATCTAGGTGTGGTGCTTCATGGATGTAATCCTAGCACTTGGAGCCTGAAGAAGGAGAATTGCTAGTTCCAGACCAGCCAGGGATACATAGCAAAATCCTGACTCAAAAAAAAAAAAAGACAAAATAAATGAGAGCCTCAATTGTGGCACATAGTAGGTACTCAATGAATATTTATTACATAAATGAAGAAAAACAATTGTTTGTGATAGATCCTAAGAAGCCAACAAGGAAAAAAAGAGCCAGAATGTATCTTTGGCACAGTCACACTTTTCATTCTATAAAACTTTGCTGCCCTACCCCTCTCCACATGGGATCCCACAGCAAGGCAATACCTGCTCCAAAACATTTCTTCAAGCCCTCCCCCAGTTTGTCGTTCTTAATCATAAGTCAGGCATTAAATGATCTTTCTCAATTTCCACCCAAAATAAAGTTTAATAATTAGAACACTCAAATAAAAAAGAAAAATAAATGAAAAATGATTTTCAATGCCCACTATTGTTCTCATTTTGTGTATTATCTTTTCCAGTTATCGTCCTTGATTTCACCATATCGATTTGTAAGATTATCTATCTATATATCTTTATCTATCATTTATCAATTATCTAGCTATCTAGATTGATAATTGATATTGATAACTATCCTATTATTCATAGGATATATTGCAGTCAGTGTTGACTAAAAATTTTTTATCCTTGTTTTAAACAAGATTTGGCCTGCTTTGGTTGCAATCTCCCAGAGAGACTGTGTGTATAACTTAATTCTTCAAAATATAATATACATAATTAATATTTGCTACTGGCTAGAAATCTTTAGTATAAGGAAAATATTGATTTATAATAATTTTATTAGTAGATATTAATTCAGTAATGAAAACATCCATGCTTCTATTTCATATTGAATTATGAGCTTACCCATCACCTCCTAAATGAAGCAAAAAGTTGTGTTTTGTATTGAGTTTAATAAGTATAAGATAAGAGATGTAGATCATTTAATAAATGTTATTTTTGTAAAGTGTTATTAGTTAATTTTCTTCTTCTCTAATTTTGAACATGAATTCATATTTTAAATACAGTTTTGTCCCAATTATTAGTTGTTATTTCACATGAAGAATTTATTCTTGTAGAGTACTTTTTGGCCAGCTGCACATTGATTTGTTTCTAATACTGTATCACAAAATTAGTACATGATTCATCACAGAGATGACTCTTGTGCCAGCAAAGGCTATTACATTTTTATCACTTTTAAAACATTTTATTTTTATTGGAGAGTACCTTGAGGAAATAATTTATTTTCTTATATGTTGATTTTAACCTAGTTTCCTTTGATTTGAAAATATTGTAGTAAAAATTTCTTCCAAATGTTTTTGTCTTGATACCAATTACTAGGATTTGGTTTTTGATTTTATATTTTTGTTGTTACCAACATTTTAATATCTTTCTAACTCTCCTCAGATTTGCTGTTTCTGTCTGGATATATGATTTCTATCATTGCTGAGTGGATTAAAGACATGAAATAACATTTTGAAACAATAGTTAAGCCATGTTTTGAAATAACCAGAACCAACTCCATTCAATGAGACAGCACAGGTCAAGAAGGCAGAGAAACCTAGAAAATCTGCAGGTCTGGCATCCATCAGGTGTGCCTAATTAGATGTTTAGAAATTCAAGGCAGCTTATGCCAAGACTGGTTCAAAGAATTCTGCAAGCTTGGATGGACGTCAGGTCTTTTCACTGCCTAAGATAATCAAAGAATCTGTGTAAATCAGACTTTGTTATTAAACTTCCAGGCCAAAGAACCAACCCACCTGAAGTGAACTCACCCATCATCACATAGGCCATACTGTTCCTTTAAGCCCATGTAATCTCAGGAAGAAAAAAAAAGATACACTTCTAAGTATAAATTTGAGGATACATATGTGCTTAAACATTTTTCTGTATTGTATCCTATTCACTTACATTAAATGCTGCAGATTTGCACTGAAGAGTATGCTGTTTCTGCCTTCAGCTAGAGAAAGGACCAAATTTAAACAATGCCTCAGCAGGCAATTACTGCATGCTGTGATTGGAAGGCCTCTCCAACCACCTATCACAATGCTAACATTTTTATCATTAGAGATCCAATTCTCTAGAGGAGCTCTGTTTAGGCTATATGCTTTACTACAATACAGAAGGCTCAGATTATGACCATGAATGCTGTTTTCTGAATATTATGTGTTGTAACATCTACTTGAAGTTTTGACTGAAAAAAAGGAAAGTATGTTTGAATTAGAGTACAGAGCAAGGTCTTGGTCATAAATCTTTCAATCTTTGATAGAATGTTTTAATAGAAATAGATTAAAGGTTGTTCCAAATAATGTTCCATCCTATTCTTATATTTTTAATTCAAAAAATAATTGGGTGATTTATTCTCCAAAGGATATATTTCTAAGTAGTGATGACCTTTGTTTTCAATTTCTTGTGAAAATCCATTGACTCTGACTGCTCAAACTTTTCTGTTTTCAAAATTAAAATTTCTGTGCCATTCATCAAGGGCTGGAGGCATTGCTCAAGTGGTACAGCACTTGCTTTACAAGCACAAAACACAGAGTTCAAATCCCAATCCCACTAAAAGAGGAAAAAGAAAACATATGCCATTCATCCATTCATCAACAAAGCTATTGGGCTTTAGTTAAGGAATTGATACTGAACAATGAATACGATAGTCCTAATCTCTGAATTCATTACAGCCTACAGTACAAAGTAAATGGACAGAATTAATGGGAAATTACACTTTTGTTTTTTAAATGCTAAGCCAAATACCAAGAACAAGAGAGAAGGTGGAAATAAGTATGTTAGGTGATGCATATGTCAGATGGCTTAATTTAGCTACTCCATGCCAAATTCAAATATCAAAACATTATACACACCATAAAATACACAATTTTATCTATCAAATAAAAATGAAAGCATTCAAGAAAGTCAAAGGATAGTATGTCCAGAACTTAGAAGGTATTAGTGATAGGAGGAGACTTCCACATCTGAGTAAGTATTAAGTATTCAATAAAAGAAAGTTAGAAATGACATTATCTCAGTAAAAAGGAACAATATGTTTAAGGCCAAGAGTCAAGAGGGCATAATGTATGTTAAGAAATGCAAAATATAATTTATTTTTAGGTAAAGAAGGAAAAAGACTATAGCAGAGAATATAGAATGAAGAGATTTTTAAGCCATATTATAGAATAATGATTATATCCTAAGAAAATAAAGAATTAAAATTTTGTTTTTAAGGCAACACACTGTAGCTGTTTTGCAGTAGCATTGTAGCAAGGCAAGACACAAGTAAAGAGTCAGGTACATATTTGAGGTAAGATATGGTAATGGCAGTGTGAAAAGGATGGAATTAAAAAATATTTAGAAAGTATAAGAAAGGTTTGGCAATTCATTGAGTAGGTGCAAAATGATGAACAACATGATGGAGGAATTGGAAATATACTAAAAAAGGCAAAGATTATTGGCTTATAATAAAAATTTTATTTGATTATTCTTTGAAATATGGATTTAAATACAGCAAGAAAAGTTAGGGAAGGTAAAAAGTGGGCACTGAATGAGTCCTTGTTTTATAATGATAAATTTTGGTGGCTCTAGGACAAGTGGAATTGTCCAGTGAACCAGTATACATGCAAGTATGGAGATCAACTGAAAATCTGAACCTGTGATAGAGTATTGAGACTTGTCAGCATATAAGGTATTCATTGGAGCCAAGAGTTTGTGTAGAAGAAGAGGAAAAGAAAGATTTTCTAGGACAAAATCTTGAAAAATGTCAAGATTTATGGTATAGGCAAAAATGATGAATCTCTCTTCACTTTTGCAGCGTCAAAAAAACTCCAAGCCTCCTTTTTCCTTCATCCAGATGCATATACTTTCGTTCTTGCTTGAACAATACTGTGTTCTAAGTTGGCTTTGTTAAAGAATAATGATACCTCCAGTATTGTTAAAGCTTAAGAGCCAATATTTGCATTGTTTATACAATATTTAATATGCTGTATATAATATAAATTAAGATCCTTTTAAAAGTCCCAATCATAGTTTTTGAGAAGAAGCGTTATATTGTATCTTATGATCAGACCTATACCTCATATACAAAGAAAAGTTACTTTACATGACTCATGACTTAATAAGTTGTTGGCCTGCCCTATTCTCTTGAAGTATTTAAAAGTATTCTTTCAAAGGTGAACAGATCCTTGAAGGGACACTGTAATCTGTTCAGCATGATTGAATCTATTGATTTATATTTGAAAAGTGTTGAATTATCATAATCATACTTACAGTAACAATCAAGTTTAATTGCAGCTATGTAAGGATTTCTTATTATTTGTTTTACTTCAGCAGTAACACAAACCCAATTGTACAATTTCCATAATCCAAATTGTGAAAGAAAGTAGGGGAAAAACAATCATGCAAAGCTAGTTGAAATAGTAATCAAAATAACTCCTTAACCAGATGGTTATCTAAAATTCTGTTCTTGAAAAGGAGCCAATTCTGAACAGATTGTATATGTGTCTCACTGGTGGAAGTGGATTATCTGTCTTGAATTGGATTGTGATGACGATGACCCTATTCTAAGTAAACCAAATCTCTTGAACTATATAATGAGATCAGGAGGAGCATTCTGTCTGAGAACGACAGATTGCCATGGCTGAGATGATTTTGCTAAAGTTTTTTCCAGCCTCTTCCCTTATGTACATGATATTGTGGGGGTTTTTTTCCTGCAGAGATTCCTGATCCTGTATTTTCTGTGATAATTCTTTTTTCCTCTCATTTTTTATTTTTATAAGCAGACCTGAATGAGTGGCAGGAAGCTGAGAAATCTATCTTACAAAAAGGTGATTTTTGAAGAGTACAGAATTTTCACTTACTGTGCAGCAGGAAGGTAAAAAACTAACAAGAGTAAACATTTAAGTAATCACTTTTATTTCTTTTCCTGTTTAGGCCGTGAGGAAGCAAAAGTTGCTTCAACAGAGTATCCAGTCTGCCCAAGAGATTGAAAAATCCTTGAACTTAATTCAGGAGTCCCTTGAATTCATTGATAAGCAGTTGGCTGCTTATATTGCTGACAAAGTGGACGCGGCTCAAATGCCTCAGGAAGCCCAGGCAAGTACAGCTAAATGGGGATGAACTTCTATTCTTTTGTTTTTATTATCACAACAGGATGTTGCTGAGTTTCTAACATGAAGTTTATTCTATTAATTGTGCAGAGGGGTTTTTATTTGGTTGATCAATTTAAGTACTTGGAAGTAAGAAGTAAAAGAAGTCTAAATTAGTATGCTGAGTTTTATTGTTCGAAGAATGCAATGTAAGGAATTGAAATAGAGACCCTGAAAGACAGAAACTCTGATACCTGGTATTCATCAATGCTTTCAAACTATACTAAAGTTTTGAGGGTAACCATGGGAATCCAAATAATAAAATATTTTTTGGTGCCATTAAAAAAGCAGTCTCAAATGTTTTACTGTTAACTCACGTTTGTTTTCATGGAATCACAAATCACATGATCTCTTTCTGATTCTACATTAATGTGTTACAAGTAGTGAATAACACAAAGTTAGAAATAAACTTGCATCTTTTTACTACTGAACTTGCTAGATATACTCACCTGCGTATATATACTACAGACATTTAATCCAGTTTCTGAAATATGTATAACCTGATTTTTTAGAATGACGGTTAAAATAATAATGATAAAATCTAAGTTGCTTTTAAAATGAGTAATCTAGGTCATGTCTAAATGTACTTTCACTTTAGGAAGTATTTTTAAATGCTGAGTTTCTGTTTTTACATAACATTTAAATGTATGTAAAGAATCATAGGTATGAATTATTTGTTTTAAATAAGAGTTGTGTGATTGTAATGTAATGGCACTGCTTTTCAAATTTACCGTGCATGTTGTGAGCCCAATAACCAAGTATAATTTAGATCCAATTAAAATAATATAAAGGGCATTAGAAGGTAATCTACAAATGCCAAAAGCCATCTTCCTTCTGATTTTTAGAGATACCTGAACTTTTTCACTTTAAAATAATTTTGGGGTAAAATATTTGATTTGTAGATTATGGATACAAATGGAATTACAGTGCATTAAATCACAGTTAAGTTGCTGTCTAGGACATCAGTATGCACATGGGCTAGGTTACTGTATTGTATTTGTTTAACCAAGAAAACACTTATGGGTCTTTGACAGACTCAAAAGGTCTGGAGTAGAGGGGATTCCTTATTAAATGAACACCTTTGCAGCAAAGAGTGAAGAAACCAAGCTTGGGGAGAATCTTAATGGTAAAATTCTCATTATTATTTTTCACTCTTAAGACACATAAGATTTTTCAAGAGTGAATGCAGTAGTAGAAATTAATAGAACTAGAGAATAATAGCAAACATGTTTGAGGATCTTTACCTCTCCAGTAGGTACATTTTTAAACTTACACAAATTTAGTCAGTTCACTAGCATTACCTATTCTTAGGTATCCCAATTTGACACAAATAGAAAAATTTATAGTCAGGGTTTGATATGATGCATGAGATTGATGAGAAATTGTTAGTAAATTGAAAAGGATTATATGGTTACTAGCTAGTAGCTCTACTTTTTCTTCAAATTAGTTGTAAATTTTTTAGAGGAGTGTTTGAAAAAATCTCATAATTGTCTGAATGGAAGTAAGGAAAAATTTAATAGTATAAATGTTAGACATTAAAATTAAAACTATTACTTTAAAGAGTTAATTTTGAGGCTTATAAAATGAAGCTATAAGTAGTATAGTTGAGATAGAATAAAGCCTAGGATTGCTTAAAAGAAAAATCTCTCCAACAAAATTAGAAATAAGGGCAAAATAGTTTCTGCTGGGTATTGAGGGGGATGGGGGGGAGAGGGAGGGGGCAGAGTGGGTGGTAAGGGAGGTGGGGGCAGGGGGGAGAAATGACCCAAGCCTTGTATGCACATATGAATAATAAAATAAAAAAAAGAAAAAAGTATTGTTTACTTGAAATGGTTGTGAGATGAGACCCTGTGGATATTCTTTTATTTAAATACCAATGCAGGGTTATATAAACATGCATCTAATATACTAGTTTTTAATAACAGAAAACATTCTGTTTAACGTTTTCAAATAAAAGTCTATAATAGATACACTGTTAATCATAGCAATTGACAAGTATTTCCAAATAACAGCACACAGGTGAATTAAGACATTTCAAATCTACTTCAAGAAAAGAGAATTTAGAGTACTGACAAGCTCAAATCCATTTTCCATATATTTCTGGTTGCACTTACACTTTCAAGGTATTTCTTAACATTCATCCCCACAATAATAATATATAATATTGGAAAAATGCAGGCCACCTGAAAGCTATTGACCCATTCTTCCTCTCCAAGATTTTATTTTAAAATGACAGCAAATGAATTGTTTTTGGAACAGAGTTATCGAGTACTCAGATTTACTCAAGGATTGCATTTCCTAAAGCTCAATTTGAGACTCCTGTGAAAAAGAGAAAAGAGGTTGTCTGTGAAATAAGAACTTAATCACATTGTGTTAGACACAGGACCCACTTAGAGTCCCAGAAAAATGGTGTGTGTGTGTGTGTGTTTGTATGTAATGGGAACAGTTTTTTATGCTTTATATTAACAAAAAATAAATATGTTTCTCTAAATATAGGTAGAAGTTCATTGCTGATTAAAAGATTAGTGAGCTTTCCATTTTCAAAAATTACATGGATATTTTAATTCATTACTGTCAAGCAGGACAAAATGAATGAATGGCATTATCATATTTAGGATTCTGTTTTATTATGTGTTTAGATTTTCTGTCAAATACTGGTTGCAGAGATTTGTGGCTGTCTGACTCCACCATGTGGTGTACTGACAGTGTTGCTTCTAAATTTGAATCTGTTTTAAGATTAAAATCCTCAGATATAAACACATGCCAACATTAACCAAATATATGTCATGTGTATAACATTCTGGTGGATATATATAAAACTTGATATAGAAAATCATGCTTCACTATATTCAATTTGCATTTATAACTAGGGCAATACAGAGCTTCCCACTTCCTCAGCATGTCAATTAATAAGTTATCTGGCATGATTTTAGAAAATTGTACCCTCTTATTCTGACTTGTACAGAAAAAATCCTTTTTAAAAATAGTAATATAAGTTTACAAGAGTAAATCATAGTCATTTAGACAATAAATGTACATACTGCAAGATTAGCAGAGCATAGTTTGACTTATGAGTGGTTTATTCCAGAGTAGCACTTAACTCAACCACCATCTTAAATGGTACAATTGCAGCGTCAACAGCACTGTGCCAGCCCACTTCAGTAAGGGAGGGGGTGGGAGAAGGGAGAAGAAATGACCCAAACATTGTATGCATATATGAATAAAAGAAAAAAAAGAATTTTATGAAAGTACAAAGTTAACATGTAACTTACTAATTCAAACAGAATCAAGAAAAAGGGGAAAGCACATCTAAAGATAGAAATATATCTTCTAAATGTAGAAACAAAAAATGTAAGAACTGTCATGAAAATACCATGATATAAAATATAAAAACCTATGAGTGTTTTCTTAAAATAATTTATAAAATGAAATCACCAATTTTTATTAAGTATGTAGAAACACATGGCATGAATTTAACTTTTGTGCCTTAGCTTTCCACAACAGTATAGTAAAGCACAGATCTTAGTTTTGACAAATAAGTTCTGGTAGCAATGATCCAAGTACCCAAGCTGTGCTTCAGACCAATCAAATGAGAATCTGGAGGGAATCAGTCATCACAGTGTTTAGAATCCCACCCCCCCCCAGTTATTCCAATGTAGCTAAGGTTAAGAAGAAGTTTAGATTTTATTGATAAAGAAATGAATATCCGTATTCAGAATTTTTAGAAACTCAGTTATTTTAATATAGCTAAGGTTAAGAATACATTTGGATATTTCTATTTCTTTACTATAATTATTGGTAAACATTCCAGTCTTTTTATATTGTACAAAATAATGGATTTCTTTATGACAATTTCACACATGCACCAATGTATTTTAACCTTATTCAATGTCCTATCACCTACCCTTGTCTCCCTGGCTCCCTCTACCTGGTTCTTCACCCCAAATAGTCCTCATTTATGCTTATGTCTATCTATCTGTTTGTATTTATGGAACTAGAGGAAATATGAGATATTTGTTTTTCTGAGTCTGACTTATTTTGTTTAACATGATGATCTCTAGTTCTATCTATTTTCCTGCAAATGACACTTTATTCTTCTTTAGTAAATAATTGTCCATTGTGCATATGTACAAAAAGAAATTTGTATACAGACTTTTTAAAAATTACTCATTTATTCACATGTGCATACATTGTTTGGGTCATCTCTCCCCCCTGCCCCCTCCTCCTCCTTCTCCCCCACTCTCCTCCTCAGTTCCAGGCAGGTCCTGTTCTGTCTTTGTCACTAATTTTCTTGAAGAAAAGACACAAGCCTAATAAGGAAGACAAAGCATTTTTGCTAGTTGAGTTGAGGATAGCTATACAGAAATATTCCTAGCACTGCTTTCGTGTACACATGTGTTATGACCCATGTTAATTCATCTCTAACTGATCTTTACACTGGTTACTGATCCCCTTCTCATGATAACCTCTGTCGCTTTAAGGTTTCTGTATTAGTTCCTCTGGAGTGGGGACATCAAACGCTTTCAAGTTTTGGGTTTTCTACCTATTCCTATATCTCCTGTATGTGCTTTCCCCTTTTCCTGTGATCCAAGTCCAACAACATTGCTGCATTTGCACTAGATCTAAAGTCCACATATGAGGGAAAGCATATGATTTTTGGTCTTGTGAGCCTGGCTGACCTTGCTCAGAATGATGTTCTCCGGTTCCATCCATTTACCTGCAAATGATAAGATTTCATTCTTCTTCATTGCTGAGTAAAATTCTATTGTGTACAAGTACCACATTTTCTTGATACATTCATCAATAGTGGGGCATCTTGGTTGTTTCCATAACTTGGCTATTGTGAATAGCGCTACAGTGTATACAGACTTTTTATCCATTCATCTTTTGGGCACCTTGGCTGATTCTATAGCTTGGCTATTGTTAGTAGCACTGTAGTAAGCATGG